ATACCCCCCCCCCCCCAGGAAGCCCCCCCCCCCGGTGTTTGCCATCGGGGTTTGGGTTTTCGTCGCTTGGCAACGACGTTGTAAAATAAGCCCCCCCACTCGGTGCTTGCCATCGGGATTAGGTTTTCGTCGCTTGGCAACGACGTTGTAAAACAAGCCAATTCACTTCGTGAACTCGGCAACCAGGTTACCGTTTTTTTTTTTACCTCGGTTTTTTTTTTTGGCGGTAACTATGAATGGTGGTCGAGTAGATCATGTTGTGCGGGGTCGAGAAACCTCACTCCGCGCAACGGGGGATGATCGCACCACGTTGTGTTAAAATGGTCAAGCTTCCTCGAGGCAGTTACACAGTGCTTACAACTGTCTCTGGAAGTGAAAGCACCAGAAAATAAATTAAGTCATACGCAGCTGTCATCCGTACGCAAGGAAGTAAGCACAAGATGCCGAACACCCTTAGCAGGATGCAGCTCACCCTTCATGCGACTCGCCAAATACCTCACGGCGCTTCGCGCTTGGTGATGTGAGAGCCTGGTCCGGTGAGAACCCGGCATGCTCCGTCCCGGCTTTGTAGGGATGCGAGGTCAATGGTCAAACGACTACGGCATGCACGACTATGAGTACACCCCCCCCCCCCCGAAGCTGCGGTAACCATAATGGTGGTCGAGTAGATCATGTTGTGCGGGGTCGAGAAACCTCACTCCGCGCAACGGGGGATGATCGCACCTCGTTGTGTTAAAATGGTCAAGCTTCCTCGAGGCAGTTACACAGTGCTTACAACTGTCTCTGGAAGTGAAAGCACCAGAAAATAAATTAAGTCATACGTAGCTGTCATCCGTACGCAAGGAAGTAAGCACAAGATGCCGAACACCCTTAGCAGGATGCAGCTCACCCTTCATGCGACTCGCCAAATACCTCACGGCGCTTCGCGCTTGGTGATGTGAGAGCCTGGTCCGGTGAGAACCCGGCGTGCTCCGTCCCGGCTTTGTAGGGATGCGAGGTCAATGGTCAAACGACTACGGCATGCACGACTATGAGTACACCCCCCCCCCCACGAAGCTGAGGCCCACAGTAGCACCCATGGTAATAAATTCGAAACCCGAAACCAACAGCGTCAGCGTTTTTCGAGCACGTGCAAAGTGAAACCCCAGTTCCGATATTTTGACCAAGAACCCGCACCGATAAAACCCTAGGGTCATCATGCTGGTACTCGACGTAGGATCAGATATCGTCACCTGGTAGATTATTATGCGCTCGTGAGTTCTTTAGGCCGAAGAGAGCGCGGAGTTGTGCCACACAATAAGACTTGGAAAGTTTCCGATTTTCTGTGACGCTGCTAAGCATGTGCCCACTGGATATCCTCGCCTCGGCATTGCAGGACGACGGGAACACCGGCATGCCCCAATGGAACACAATCTCCTACATGTGCCCTCTTGCGGTGAGAACAGATAACGCGCGAGTGCACCGCCGGATAGCAGAAGGGAATAGTATGTATCACCCACACCCGTCGTCGTCGACTGTGCGAGATATATATGCACAGAAAGAAAATCAACGGGGCTCTCCGCATGTACGTACGCCCAAGGCTGGTCTTTGATATGATCCAAAGAGTCGATTGTCGCACATGAATTTATTTCGCTTCTGGCAGATGCAATCCCACACAAACTTCGTAAACGGGGTCGGAGACGGCAAGCATAACGGCTTTCTAACGGACATGTACGCGTTCGGCAAGACCCTGGCGGAAGTTTACGGGGGCTCGGTACACCACCTGCAAGGTCGGCAAGGAAACAGGTCGCAAAACCCAGGTGAGCCCGCTTACTGTGGAGTACTAGGGACCGGAAAATCGGCGTAAACTCATGTTGTTGCCGGTTGCACCCCTCTCGCGAAGAGATGATGAAGCTATTACCAGATTCCCGCTGTTCTCACCGCTCGCGCCATTTTCAGTTCACAACGACTGCCCTGTCCCGGCAGCTCCAGCAGCCTCATTCTTCTCATTTGCGCCGCATTTGGTTCTCGTGTCGTAGACTTGGAGGAGCTCCTGGACCACGTGACGACCGCCAAGCTTACTGCCCGCTGGGACATCGATGAAGTCTTCGAAAGCGACTTCATGAAGGTATTTAGGTCTCGTATAAGGGTGTGATCTTGGCATTCCATCTACTTGCCTATTGTTGTAGGGCTGGCGTCCGAGGCAAGCTAGGCTCTGATTGTTGTGGCTTTTTCTCACTCGTGTATCTGGCCAAGGAGGTACCACAGCACAATAATAACTTGTTCACATGCTGCTGTACCAACGTCGACTCCGGCGCTATTCTGCCGTACTACCGACGACGGCTGACCGGCGTCCACGTGCTATCCCGTGGGTCTTATTCCCTTTCCTGAGCATAACGCCAATGCAGGGTTACGCACGTAAGAAAGGTTCCCTCTAGCAAGGCTGTGGGAATTGTCTCCTCCCTACACTCTAAGGAATGGTGTGCAAAACAAACAGGGAATACGAGCAAGTCGCTCAGTCATCCGCGGGAAGTACTCCCGCCGCCGTTCAACATGTCGAGTGTTCTTGGACCATGCCACCCTCTTATTGTATTCGTCTCAGAACGAGCTTTGATGGTAGCATACTTGTTCGCCTTCTCTGCCGATGCTTTGCAGGCGTACGCCAGCGAACACCCGCACGCCAACGATCCCATCATCACGCCGGTCGCTTCTGACTCTGGGGGAGCAACAGCGGGTGTCGTAGGCTGTACATCTACTTCGACAGACGCTGACGAAGCCGAGACGGACATCTGGCGAGATTCTTACGCGGACGCGCCCATTCCACCCTCAGCAACTATAGGCGTTGGTCGTGCGAGCACGAGCGGTGCGGAGGGTGGCAGGGGAGTGCCGATGCCGAAGTTTACGGCGTATCCCGGGCCGGGGGGATGGGGCCCAGCACAGCCCTCACGCGCGGCGCAGCTCGCAGTAAAGGCCGCGGCGAAGGCGGCAAAGTCCAACGTCATGGTGCCGGTGAACGTGCCCGCGTCCGTACCACCTAACGAGACAATCAAGGGTGCCGAAGGGTCAGCAAAGAGCAGCAGCGCCACGTCCGGGCACAGCGGAATGTGGTCGACTTCGACAGGCATGGGGGTCGGCACAAGCACCAGCGGTACCGGCATGACCGGAAGCGAGCCGGCCGACAGCACCCAGACGGGCCAAACGCGACCGTCCCCGTCATTGCCAAGGCGAGTTCCCGGGGCGGTAGATTCCGGAGCTTGTATAATGACCGGCTCGTCCAGAGCAGGAGACAGTGGAGAAGACGTGTTGGGTCTCGACCCCGATCTACATTAAGCGGTGGGTTCCGTGGGGGCAGAGACCCCGACGACGAGCGTAGGGCCTACCCCGCCTGCCATCTCGGGTAAGCCAACCGGAGCATCATCAGCTAGTAGCTCCCAAGAGCGGCGTACGCCAGTGCCCGGCGAGGGTGTCGCGATGCCGCTGCTCCGGGGGAGGACGAAGCAGCGGAAGAGGTACCTGCGCCGCCGGCAACAGATCAGCACCAGCCGGCGTCCCACGACGAGAAAGCCGCTTCTGGAGGAGCGTCGGGAGGCATCGAGCTGTGCGTCAGCGGTGCTACCGCTACCGCGACGGCAGCGGCAGGCCCTGCTGCGCAATCGCAGCCGGCAGGAAACACGCTTCCGGCGGACATGTCGAGGCGAGGAGGGGTGTCTGGAGCGTCAGCACCGTCGGAATCGATCTCTCTTGGGCGTGGATCCCGCGGCGGCGGGTCTGAAGGAACGGGACTTCGTGGTGTGCTGGGGGTGATGAACTCAGGGGTGGCGGCGATGGGAGCGACGGTGGCGTGGCCTGGGAGGAGTGGGGTAGGGATGATGTGGTCGCGCCCTGAGGGAGGAGCGCCGGCGCTGGCGGCGTCGGCGGCGAGCGGAGCGTCGGCGGCGACTGGATCATCGGCGGCGGGACCATCGGCAACAACTGGAGTATCGCAGGGAACACGAGTATCTGGGACAAAGAGGAAAGCGATACAAGGATCGGGGGATGGAAAGGAGGAAGGTTTCGCGATTCACACCGGGACGAAGCTTGGGTCATCGGCTACGACCGGAGCATCGCCGGGCTCACCGGCAGCGGGGATGAAGAGGAAGGTGACGCCGACATTAGGGGGCGGAGAGGAAGGTTTCATACCCCACACCCGGACGAAGTTTGGGTCATCAGCTACGATTGGAGCATCGCCGGTGACATTCGCATCGGGGACAAAGAGGAAGACGGCACCGGGATCGGGAGACGTAGATCAAGGCTTCGTGCCCCACACCCGGACGACGCCTGGATCATCGGCTACGACTGGAGCACCGGCGGGGACATCGGCGTCGGGGTCCAAGAGGAAAGTGCAACCGGCATTCGGGGACGGCGAGGAAACGTTTGTGCCCCGAACACACGCGAAGCCTGGATCATCGGCTACGACTGGAGCACCGCCGGCGACATCGGCATCGGGAGTGAAGAGGAAAATGACGCCGACATTCGGGGATGGAGAGGAAAGGTTCGCGCCCCGGACGAAAGTATCCGTGAAGGAGCAGGCACCAGCCATGCTCGAATCCGTCAGGCTCACGCGCTCAACTGCACGAGCGGCGTGGGTAGACTACAGCAGCAGCAACACGATCAAGCGCGGGAGGGACACGGACGTGAGTCACTTTCCTTTTCCCGCATTGGTTGCCAGGATGTTTGGTCTGTTGTTCTGTTGGCTTGAATCGTAAATCAAACACAACGGCGTTCACCCAGAACTTATCTAGATCAATCAGACTGTTGAGGCAACAGCACTGTCACTGCAGTTGCTGTACAGCTATTCCTTCAGCTGTGGCTACAAAGTAGCTGGCATGTGATGCGAGGTTAGGTAGGCAAACACACAGAGTGATATTATTATCCACACAGACGCCCAAGCTGTCTTCACCTGACGGTTACAGACTTGGCAACGCCTTCACAATACCGCATAAACCCATGCAGTAGAATAGAGTCGTTCTTGTACCGCAATTACTCCAACATGTCCTCTCAAGAACTACGTCATTCTAGTACCTATGCATCAGATCCAATTCTCTCTCAATGTCCTCTCGAAAACAATATCCATGTCCTCTCGAAACAATGCTATCTTAAGAACTTCTGTCTCAATATCAATTGTTTTGCCTTTCTCAGCTGCGTTGCATCAGCAGCGATTTATTTTCCTTCGACACAAATCTCCCGAATTTTCTTCTAACATATACACACACATACACCATCCAACCCTCAAGACATAAAGTCTGATTACGAAGAAGAGGGGAGGTGATCAAACTCCTAACAGCATGCCACGGGCGCGGAGAAACTCCGACGGGTTTAGCCCTTTCGTAAAAATGTCCGCTTTCTGAAGCGACGTCGATATTTGCTTCACGTCTACGACTCCATCAGCTACCAGCGACCTTACGTGGTGAAACTTTACGTCAATGTGCTTCGTCCTTGGGGTGATACGGAAGCTACGAGTTAATTTTAGAGCTCCCGAGTTGTCCTCCCACACCACGGTTGCTTCTTCCTGAGTCTGATTTATGGTGTCCAGCAGGTGGCGGAAGTACTTGATGATGTTGCACCCCTTCGACAAAGCCACGAACTCTGCTTCAACGGAAGAGGTCGCCACCACCGTCTGCTTGGATGATGTCCATTCCACCGGTCCACCAGCGAAGTACAACACGACTCCCGTGGTGGAGTAGCCCTTGTCTAGGTCGCCTGCAAAATCTGAGTCGACAAACGCCGTAATGACGTTTCCATCTCCGGCGTCCTCGCCGTAGCGTACACCGATTGATATCGTACCTTTCAGGTACCTGAGTACGCGTTTGAGTTTCTGCATCGCCCTCGGACCTGGTTTCGCCATACTCCGCGTCAGAACCATTACGGAGTGAGTAATGTCGGGCCTTGTGCACCTGCTGAGATATAGAAGCGAGCCTGTGGCGGAGCGGAAATATGTGGTATCCTCCGCTGACAGCACCTCGTCCTCCAAGACGGACACCGGTCCAGCCTCAGACGGAGATGTCGTCGGACGCGCGTCGGCCATGCCGAACTTGTCCAACACTGCGTTGGTATACGCTTCCTGTTCCAAAAGAATCGTCCCTGCGGCTCTGTCTCGGTTGATTCCCATACCGAGTAGGAATCTGGCTCCTCCCAGGTCCACCGTTTCGAAACGCTCATTCAGCTGATCGACTATGCTCAGCACTTTGTTCTCGCCCTCCCCGGTCAGCAGAATGTCATCCACATAAACGAGAAGGAGCACATCTCCGTCGTCCAGGATGTACAAGCACGGTTCAGCGGTGCTCTCAACAAATCCGATCTTCAGGAGAAAGTCGTGCAGAGTGCCCCACCAGCCTTTTGGGGAAAAACGCAACCCGTAAAGCCATGCTCTGAGCTTCCAGACTTGCCTGGCTCTCCCGCTGTCGCACGAGAATCCTTCCGGGGGAATGACGTACACTGGTTTCGATCTCGGTTCCATCCTCGCGTGGAGGAACGCCGTCCTGATGTCGGCTTGGCGAAGAACAAGTCCATTCTTGGCTGCATGCGCAACTATCAGATGGACGGCTTGGAGAGACGCTACCGGTGCAGCATTGTCGGTTCCGGTCTCAGCTTCGTAAAATCCTTGCACTACGATTCTCGATTTCTGTCGCACAGCGATGCCGGCCTCGTTGTACTTCCATTTGTAGATGTATTTTGACGGGATGATTTGAGCATCGCACGGGGGATCGACCCACTCATAAACGTCGTGGTCTAGCAAGGAGCGATTCTCCTCCTCCATGCTTTTCATCCATCCAACAGCATCTGGTCCGTTGACCGCTGCGCGGTAGTTCGGTGGATCGGCGGGCATGTATCCTAGTTGGCCAGGTATCCCTTGACCAAGGTTCCCGATCTCACCTCCGATCACCAGCGCGTATTCCGTTTCGAACACCTGCTCCGTCGTAAACAGGTTCAGACGGTCCCGCGGCCTTGTCGTACGACCGCTTTTGCGCACCGCGGGCGGTTCTTCGTCCGGTCCGTCGTTCGTTTCTGCTAGTTCTGGTTCCTCGTCTTTTGTCTCGGCCCCAGTAGTGATGATGCCGGGCTGGAAAATCTGGCCTTGTTCGGGAAATGGGTCAGACCCGTGCATGGGGCGAGCGACGTCGCGGGCATCTACCTCGCGGAATGATACTTCAGCAGAGTTTGTAATTTTGAGTGGTTCCGCCGGGTCCCATAGCCGCCACGTCTTGCTGGTTGTATTGTATCCCACCATGTAATACTTCTTGGCCCTGGCAGAAAACTTATCGTTTCGCGAGCGAGCTTCTACGTGTTTAAACGCTACAGACACCCACTCATGCATGTGCTTCAAGCTGCCGAGTGGTTTGTCCTCCCAAACCTCAAGTGGTGCTTTGCCGTCCAGGACGTCAGTAGGTGTGCGGTTCTTGATGTAAATGGCGGCCTTCACGGCTTCCGCCCACAGTTGACGCGGTAGGTGCGGAGCTCCAAGCATGAGACTACGTGCTGCACCGATGACGGTCCTGAAACCGCGTTCGGCGACAGCATTCCCTTGAGGGACCTCTGCTGTTGATATGGGGAAAGACAGGTTCCGGCTTCGCAGGGCCGGAGGAGCCGAAAGTAGATCCGTCTTCACCCCCTTCTCATCCAACGCTCCGACAGAAAATATGTTTGCTCCAAGATCCCGCACAAGCAGAACCTCCAATTCTATCGGGACGGGTTGACCTTTGTCATTCTTGAGTTTGAACTTCAGCGTACCTTTCTTGGTGGCGCTGGATGTGCCGCACGAACCCTTGATGCGGACGTCGCAGTCAACCAAGTCGACTACATGTTGTGAGACTGGGCTCTCGCCGCTTACCATGTGTCCCGAAGCGGCGGTGTCGATGAACACCCTCGTATGCTCGGCGGGCGCTGTCTTGTCCACTGCACGAAAAACGTTGGTGTACGCGACCAGCTCCTCATGCTGTATCGCGGCAGGCGGGTCCATTTCCTGCTCGTAGGAGGCAGCAGGCTCCTCGGTTTCCTCTGCTGTGGCAGGCGCAATCGGCACCTGCAATGGGACAGCACGTTCCAACAATGAATGGTAGCGAAGCTGTGGCAGGCGCAGCCAACACCTGCCCTACATTGACATCGGACGCCTCCTCAGGGGTCGATGCAGCAGGCGCAAACGGCACCTGCTCGGGATCGCCTATGGCGATGTCGAACGATTCCAGCGTGAGGTCGACCTCGCGCGCGTGCGTGAGCCACGCCTGTGTCGTGGCTTCCGCGATCGTGTTGACCTGCTGCTGCTGCTGCGGTTGCTGTTGTTCACGGTTCGAAAACCGCGTGGCATTGGAGGCGCGAAGCGGGCAGTTCGTCCAGGTGTGTTCCGTAGAATTGTGACAGTAACTGCATAAGCCGTCCCTGTCGTACCCGCGTCTTTGCTGTGAGTGGTTTGGCCGTCCAGAGGGCCGGTTGTCGGAAGACGCACCACCAGCTCCGTTGCCAGAAGTTGCGCCGCCATGGTTCTGGTCGTTGCTGTTGTTCCCCCTCGACGACCCGTTGTTACGGTTCGACGAGTTGTTCCAGCTGCCACGTCCGCGTCCACCGCGCTGCGCGCGTCCACGACCATGATGACCGCCGCCCTTACGGAAAGAACGCGCTCCACCGTGTGTGACGGTATTCAGCGCACGGCTGCTGCTTCCGGACGCGTTCTTCGAGGCAACTTTACCACGAATGTGCATCGCGTGGAACGAAGTGGCTCGGTCGGCGACCTCCTCGAAGGACAAGACGCTCCCAGCAGCCTGGCCGCACAGCAGCCCTGTCTTGAACTCTTTGTAGTGGTCGTCCGGCAGTGCTTTCAGGAAAGCGAACGTCTTTCGGTGGTCAGCCACCGTGTCGTTATACACGGCTAGCTCCGTGCAGATCCGGCGCATGTCTTGAATAACATTGGCCGGATCAAAGTCGTGGTCCGCAGTAACTGCCAAAGATATGAACTTCTCGTGCAGCTCCTGCGTACGGTATACCCCAGCGGCCTGGTACTTTCGTTCCAGGGCGAGGAATGCTCCACGACCGTCTCCGTTGTAGGAAGACCCGTTAGGCGCGTATGCCTGCACAGTCTGTGAGGCCGCGCTCTGGTAGCCCCCGGTTTCAGATGTAGCGAGCATCAGCCGGGTAAAGATCTGTCCGTTCTTGTCCTGGTATCCTTCCAGGGCAGTTTGGTATGCCAAAGTCTGGTTTGGCGTAGCGCTTGGTCCAGGATCCGTAGGGGCTTTCTCCACTCCCAACAGAACCTTGTGCAGCTTGTCCTCCATAAATAAGGAGGTCTGCAGAGTTCGCCAGCCGACGTAGTCGCCTGGGTCACCACTGAACTTGGCGAATCCTCTTCGGATCTCGCCTGACGAGCCGGTAGCCATGCTTACCGACGCTTGTGACTCTGGTGTACTAGCTCGAGCAACTCGAGGCTCAAAACCTGTTGAGGCAACAGCACTGTCACTGCAGTTGCTGTACAGCTATTCCTTCAGCTGTGGCTACAAAGTAGCTGGCATGTGATGCGAGGTTAGGTAGGCAAACACACAGAGTGATATTATTATCCACACAGACGCCCAAGCTGTCTTCACCTGACGGTTACAGACTTGGCAACGCCTTCACAATACCGCATAAACCCATGCAGTAGAATAGAGTCGTTCTTGTACCGCAATTACTCCAACACAGACCAGAGCGGCTGGATGCAGGAGCGCACCGAAGTACATCTTGTCCGTGCTTGAAGCGCACACAATACTGTACGCCATACACACGTGTTGCGTACACACCGACCGATCTTCTTTTGAATTTTATACGCTTGCAGGACCAGGCGACGGCAGAGGGGAGGAACACGGGCGGCAAGAGGACTAAGCACAACAAGTCGATGGGGAACAAGAGTGCGACGGACAGCCCATCAGCACCCGCGTGCAGGTCTCGTAGGGGCCGCAAGAGGATGAACGGCGACGACGACGACGACAACGACGGCGGCGGCGGGAGCGCGGGAGACGGCTCCCCAGGGGCATGGTCTGCATCCGAGTCTCGGGCCAGCAAGCGCATTCGCCTCACGCCTTCCGGTAAGCCCCGGCGTACTCGTTCGGATAGAAGTGAGGTATGGAGCTGACCGTTCGCTCCAGGCCTCCTCCCAGAACGCAGACTAACAACATGCTACGGTCTCCACGCCCCCGTCCTCTCCCAAACCACCCCCTCTTCTTGTTGAGCAGCGTGAACCTGAGGGCCGGAGGGCATATCCCCTACGCGCGCTGCAACCCACAAGTGCAGGGTAAATGATGCTTCCTTGTCCGAGAGGACGGTTTTTCTTTGAGCTAGCACATAAATTACACGAAGATTTCCGTGACAGCGGTGTGACGTGCACGATGGGACGAGAGGCGTTGCATTTGTTGCTGCTGCTGCTGCCACTGCTGCTGCTGCTGCGCGAAGGGGCAAAGGCGAACGCGCATTTCGGTGCCTTCGGTTTGCTGCAAGGGGGAGAATGACATCTCTTGCCCCCCCCCCCTCACAAATCCAAAAAGGGAAAAAAGGGGAAGAAAAACAAAGGAAATCCCATTGACAATACATCAACGCCATATTAACAACCCAATGCCGGCTTCTGTGGACCTCCGCCACCGCCATTTTCTTGAATATTAATAGTTAAATGCCCAGGCAACTTTCTGTTGGGCCTTGCCTCCTGCAACATCAACACCACGTCCCTCATGGAAGGTCTGTCCGCTGGGTTCTTGCTGGTGCAAAGCAGCGCGATCCTCAACATCTGGATCATCCCCTCCCTCACCGATGTGCACGTCACCCCCCCGTACCTGCCCGGGCGGCCGCTCG